ACACATAAAACAATGGATTGCAAGCGTCCTAGCTGGTGCCTCTATCGTGTAATCATGTTCGCATGCACGTGAAGGCAACTTCGGCAGGCTTGCAGAGCGCCTGCGTTGTCGCGCGAGCGGAGACAAGGGCTGTTCGATCAAAACAGAAACCATGCCACTCCACCCCGCCGCCAACTGATTCCCCAAAATTGTATGAAGGATGTAACTGTCGAGCATACGACAAAAAACAGTCCAGCGGCGCGTGCTTGCCAGGCCGGCAAAGAACCTGAGCACATCCATACAAGAGATCGCGAGCCAGGGTCAAAAAGTTCTCGGAGCGCTTTGTGCAACGACTGAACTCGAGATGGAGTCGCGCTGTGCGGGTTCAGCGTGCAGACGTTGCCTTTGTTGCTTTTGTTCAGTTCTCTTGGCCAAATTTCTTTCGCGGCAGATTCTCCCGAAACGCACCGAGAGAAACCTAGGTAGTCAATACTTCGACACAGCACTTTCTGAGTTAAAGAGGGATTTCTGTAGTAACGTATGATTCAAACAAGAACAGGAATGTTGATGAACATGTGGCGGTACTTAGTTTCATTTTAGAAAGCGCCATATCTGCAGCAACGTGGAGACGGCAACACCCGACGTCACGCGACCACGGTGACTGGAAGGCAGCGACCAAATATAGCTTTCCCACGGTCGTTGCTTTCAGGAGCGAGGGCTTCAGCTCACAAAGTAACTCCCGCCGCGCGAAAACGTGGTTTCGTTTCACAGTATGAGGGCATGGCTGGTACCCGGCACGCTAGCGTCGGAGCGTCCACACGCAGCTGAGTCTATCGTCGAAAATAGTTTTCAAAAAATACGCGAGACGAGACGCAGAGAGCGCGAAACGCGAGACGGGCGGGAAAACCATGCAAGACCGGATGGACAATTGATGCAGAGTACTTTGTGTCGGGCGGCCGCTTGCACCATATAACACACGCGTGCTGAATTACGGTACTACTCAGTTTAGTTCCAATTCCGAAAGGTGACCAATTTTTTTTTTTTTTTTCGTACGCTGGCGCAGATTATTTATGGTTAAAAAATAGCAAAAAAAATATTATTCATATTTTGGCAAAATGTAGCAGGATGCGTAGCAGAATCAGCCCCTTGGCGCAGTATGGCGCCGCCATCACATCACTGAACTCACTCGGCTCGAATTCCGCGAGGGCACTTGGTGAGCACTCCCTTTAGACTCGATTCAAATCAATGCCAGACATTCGTAGTCTAGGGCTAAGTATCGGGACACTCCAATCTGTTAGTTATTTTTAAAGATATTTTTTTTTAAAGTAAGTGTAACGATAACTCAAATACTTTTTTTTTAAGCAACTAAAAAGTATCGGCAAAGATAGAGATACTTTTCGCGAACAAATGAGGCCTATTTTGTGAACAGCATACAGCGAGTTCGACCACGTGTGGAGGTTGGGCCCCGCACGAGACGCGACAAAATAGATCGAGGACTGAAAACTTTTTCCGTCGAAGCAAAGAGCCGGAGCAGAAGGCAGACGTCTTCCTACTTGTGTTTTTCCTTTTTCATCGTGCGGAGAAGCGCATTTAGCGTTGGCTTTATCTCATCCTCTTCGCGCGTGGCTCTCTCTCCCGCCCCGTCTTCAGCCTTTCCGGCCTCGTGCAACACCCCCGCCTCTTCGGCCAAGCGACAGAGCCACCTCGGGGAAACGCGCCGAGCGTAGACAGCTCACGGTGAACTGCTGAACACCGAACGAGAGCCTCTGGTGTCGGTGCCGCAGCAGGCACGGCCGAAAGCGAGTTGCCGTCAGTGGACGCTGTCCGACCTGGCCCACGGACGATGTTTCTACCGGCCGACCTGCGTTTTCCCAGGGGCCGTGAGCCCGTGATCCACGGTCCAGTCTTTTGTTCGGCGTTGCATAGAAGAAATTCGAAAGAAAAGCGGAACGCATTCCGAGACGACTCTGGGTTGTTTTTGTTCACTCCTTTCTTTACCTCGAAATTTGATACTAACGGTCGCTTCCACTTGTCCACTCGGATAGTTCAGCCTTCCGCTCCCCTCCCTATTATTGTAATGAGCCCGTCTGTTCATCTCCCCCTCCTGTCAGCTGAGGTAGGGGAAGAAGAGAGCTCTTAGGAAAGGAGAAACAACGTCACATGAAGAGAGAAAAGAGTTGGATGGGAATTAACCGCTATAGCTCAAACGAGTGACGAACGGCAGGTGACACCATGGCCCGGCTATGAACTGCAGTGCACTTTGACCTTGTCGAATAGGGTGGCGATAACTTCACTGCTCCCTGCAAACAAGGGGAAAAACGTATACGCCAGCCGAGAGGTCCTCTTCCTCCGATCTTCGCAAGCTCCCCGGACACGGAACGATGGAAGGCTGAAACCTCGACAGCGCTCTGCAGCCCCAACGACTTTCCCATTATTAGGAAAGCTTTTTTTTTGTTCACGCTCGAATACACTGTTCCGCGCACCCCTTGAGCGCCTCTTTCGTTAGGGATGCGTTCAGCATCGAAAGGGGAAAGTTAAGTGATCTTTGAAAAGGAGTTGCTGCTGAATTATAACATGAACTAAATAATGTATTATTTAGTTCATATTTTATCCAAGCAGCAAACGCACATTTCAGTAAGTTTTCTGAGAGTTCCCAATAAATATAAATCGTAACGAATATGTGCTGTCATCAATGTCTTCGTAGTTAAATTAAAAAAAAAGAAACGAAAATATTTTGAAAGTAACTAAGATACTAGGACGAAGTAACTTTGAGACGTTGTCTGTCCTTTTCCCTTCCTACTTCACAAGTTTCCGTTTTTCAAACCACAGTCTCAGGTTTTGAATCATCCTGTATAACTTACACCAGCTCGCCTGCACTTTAACCGTTTTTTCTTCAATAAAATAACTGTAACTGTGAATTTTACTTTTAAGTAACTGTAACTGTCATTTAAATACACTTTTGGCAAACTATCTGTACTGTAACTTAAATACGCTTTTGGCAAACTATCTGTAACTGTAACTAATTACTTTTTAAAAGCTGCCCAAGACTGGGTCACGTTCGCCTGCACCCAGTCGTCGCAGTGACGGGAATCACCCAACTTTATAATAAGAAGATTTAGAATAGGAGGACTCCAAGCTATTTTGGGGTAAACGCTAGGGCCCGCATTTTTTTTTTTTTTTTTATACACTTAAATTTTAGGCTATGTGGCTTCACGAAGCTAGCGGCATCGCACTACATGCGCAAGTGCATAAGTTGTGCGCACGCGCAGTGTGACGCTCCAAACAGGCTCCAGATCACGTGGCCGCCTGTTCAGACACTGCTCGTTTTTCTGCGACAGGCAAACCGACGAGTGGGAGTTAGCTAGCGTTCCTTGCTTCGACGCAGGTGCCTTTCTGGTGCGAGCGCTCGTCCCGCGAAAGCCTGTTCTAAAGCCACAATCTCGTGCCTGCACATTTCGCCGCTCTATCAGCTTCGGAGTAAACGGCAGTGCCCACAAAGGCGCGGAAGAGAGCTGGTGGCTTTGGAAAGTGCCTCGCAGGCGCGAGTTCTCGTGCAAACCGAGCAAGATATGGTGAGCTAGGATCACGGGGTCCGTGCCCTGCAATGAAGACATTGGTACGGAGTGAAATGCGCATTTCCAGCAATATTCGGCTAAAGAGAGAACATTCTAAGAGCCGATCATAGTCATTGACAGGGTGACAAGGAAATCTGGGCCTCAAGCATGCGCTCGTTGCCGTCCGGTTTGGCTGAGCACGCATGCCCCGAGTTCCGAGAAGCCCAAGTGCTAGGGAAGCTCGCGCTGGAGGCGCGAGAACTGCCTCCCCGCAGTTCTCATCCTGTCAGTTGCTTGCGGACCACTGGTAGAAACAGCCACGCTCGTGGCAAACTGGGGGATCGGTGGCCGAGTGGGCTGAAGCGCACACCCAGCTCGACGCGCGTGGAGCGAAAGCTCGCGCTGCAGAACCCAGGGACCCTGGGTTCCGGCCCCACCCCTGCCCGTTTCGATCTGGATGAGCATCGTACCGGCGTGCGGTCGTGTATCACCACTGCGTGGTGCACGTTAAAGACCCCAGGCTAGCGGTTGTACCGCACTGGCTAAATTGCTCATCTACAGCGTGTGACTCGTCGCAACTTTAATGGCAGACCAACTACACGCTGTATAAATATCCCCACAACCCCAATTATTATTATTTCGTGGCAAACTTAGCCGAGCGTCCCTGCAACCGAAAAGCGCGTTGATTGGGAAACTCGGACAGAGAATGTCCAGCCGAGAAGTTGGGCGAAGGACGGGCGACATCGGAGCCCTCGGGCTCGCGCTTGCCAAAGCGTCACAGGGAACTGCCTGACGCGCGGCCGGAGCGGCCGGCTCGTGTGCACTACCATAGCGGCGAGGATCAACAACATTCCGAGCCGAGGAATACAGGAAGCGTCGCATCCGATAACGGCCCTGACGGCCCGTCGAAGCGGGGCATCATCACAGAAAGGTGACGCCACTGCTGCGGTTTGACGATAGGCTGCATGGCGGCACGGTGAAGTGGCTTCGCTGGGCACAGGGGCGGATCCAGAACTCAATTTTTTTTTTTTTTTTTTTTTTTGAGGGGGGGGGGGGGGGGGGGCAGGAAATTTGTAAGGATACTATTCTCCCATTCTTTCTTGTGCACCGCGGGGTCCACCAATGGCAAATTGCCCTCCGAGTAGGGGGGAGGGGGTGGCGGTCGACTTTGTTTGGGGGGGGGGGGGGAGGGGGGGGGCCGCCCCCCCGTCGACCTCCCCCCCCCCCCCCCCCCCCCTTGGATCCGCCACTGGCTGGGCGCGGATGCCTCGGGGCTGTCCACGGAGCCACGTGTTTAGTCTGAAAGCCATGCCCTAGCACCTTCGCAAAGCAAGACTGCATCGATGAAACGAAGCAGGCACGACTGCCGAAACGTGTCCGGACGTGCCCGATCAAAGGCGGACGCGGAACGCGACAACCCTTCTTTGCGAAGCCCAGGCAGGCAGGCAGTAGGAAAGAGCTGGGTACCTCGAACGACGTAGCGGACGATAGCGAAGATTCGGCAGCAGACGACGGCACTCCTCTGGGGTCCGGATGACCCCCGGCCTTGGACGTGCCGTACTGGTCCTCGAACGGCGACATGGCGCCGGCACGGGTGCGCCACTTGGTGACGACCACTTATCCGAGCAGCAGCCACTTAATCCGGCTTGTGCACTGGTCGCTCGGTCGGTCGGGGCACTCTCCGACGAGGCACATCCGGAGGGAGCGCGGCAGGTTCACCGACACCCGCGCACAGAACACCCGTCGGAGCAGACGAACCGCACCGGCCGCAGCAACATACCCGCACGCCTGCCGAGAAACTAACCTCGAACCCAGCGACCCAGCAGCCCAAAGAAGCAGACGACGGGCCGAGGGAAATCTGGGGAGGAGAGTACGGCCAAGTTCAACGTCGTCTGCTCTCCCGTCTCGAGAACTGAGAGCGAACAAAATGGCTGTGGGTGCGGGCAGGCCGGTAGCGGGAGAGGAAAAGCGCCTTTCGAGGCTAGGAATGCGCTGAGGGCCATCCTTGGACGGACCGTTCAACCCGGCGTCCTTGGGCCGCTGCGAGTGGCCGGCAGTTTTCTCTCTTTCCCCTTTTCGTTCTCGTTGCTGCTTCCTCTCGGCCCGTTTCCTCGTTGTTTAATAATCGGCAGGTTGGATTCCAGTGACCCCGATAGCATAAGGCGCTCCTCGCGAGGGGCGCCGCCCACCGACGGGCATCGCTTTCTGGCCCCCGACGCTCTCTCAGCCGCGGGGCGCAGTATGCGTCACGAGCAAGGGCCGACGCCGTGATCCATTCGAGGAACAGCAGAGATAACGTCGGATAGGCTCAAGTGCATACTGGCACATTGTTACCACGATGTCAAACACGTCTTCTGGGTTTGTGTACACAAACGCCGAGACCAAGGTCCCGCCGCAAACCTTCGTAGAACGACTAGGTGAGCAGATACCTAGAGGACATCCAAAACCTTAACGACCTTCGGGCTCCATCGTGTACGTTTTCCCGTCAGCGGACGCTTTTTTAACGCGGTTCCGGTGTAGGTAAACATCAGGTAGGCAATAAAAACAAATGGTCAAATAACTCTCAGAATCAGGCGCCATAAGCCGGGGGTCACACTGCTTATCATACAAAAGAGAGTCTGCATACAGGTTCGAACCTAAGTCACAGAGAGATCCGTGCTTCGAGTGCCGCATGACTACGAGTTCAAGGAGAAACTTGGCACACGGAATTAGAACCACGGATATTCCGGTGACTCGGGTGACTGTCTTTCGTATGGTCTATAACAGGGGTGGCCAAACTGCGGCTCTTCGCATGTTAAAGTGCGGCTCGCGGCTCCCTCCCCTTACCCTCCCCCCCCCCTCCCCCCCCCCCCCCCCCCACTCCCCCCGCCTCCCTCCCAGTCACACGAGCACCTCACCCCCGAAAGAAATGGAACGCGTTTTAAATCTGAAGGCAGGTTGCGGTGGGTAGTCCTGTGCTACTCCTCTCTTACGTACAGTTGGACTGCTTTTGACTCGGAGATCAAAAGTGGTTTGAGTTTATTGCTCTATACAAATGTTTCATGGTCCATGCTCTATGGAATTGTAGACCTTTTTCGCATAACCTCATACCAGCGCTTAACCGACGTATCCTCGTCGCGGTTCATTTTTGGCTTGCCCGCTGACAAAGTGTATGTTGCCGCCAAGGGAATGGCCGAGAAAGCTCAGGAACGGGCGTCGTGCGCGAGTATAGTTCAGAGTGCTTCTTTTTCCTGCGTTACGCCAAGTTTGAAATGGCGTCTTTAACGTGCATCACGAAGTAGTGACACAGGACCGCACGCCGCGTAGAACTTTATAACACAAACAGCGTGTGAACGAAACTTAAAAACCACCCCGACGAACTCGTTGAAGAGATACTGAACCGAAATTTGGATTTCGTAAAATAAGGCCGCAGAAGCGTTAACACGTCCCGTTCTCCAAAACACCTCCCAACTAACTCCAAAACATCATCTTGTAAACCCTGAGATGGGGAACGATAAAAAAACGGACGAACATAACAAAACAAAACAACAAAAACACATCGTTCCCCATCTCAGGGTTTACAAGATGACGATTGATTACCAGCTCGCCTGCACTCTCTCACTGCTTCCAAAACATCTCACATATCGATGTCTCAAACAGATGGCCGTACTTTTGGCAAAAGAAGGGAGCGATCAAGCGAGGGCTATGACGTCATTGTCCTCCTGGAACAGTTGAGAATGAGGGAAGCGGCCTCGCTTCTCTCCTCCTCGCCTCGGTTCACCAGCTCGACGGGACGTGGCGAGGAGCAGAGGGAATGAGAATCCTACAGTGACTTGTCTCGTCGGCCGTGTTCAATCGCGCCTCTTCGGCGATCCGTTAGAGATATTTTTTTTTTTTTTTTTTTCAGCGTCTCGCTTATTTTTTAGTTTTGTTTTGTGAAATCCAACTTTCGGTTCAGTTTCCCTTTAAAGTTCTTCCCAAACTTACAGACACTGCTTTTACTCCCATCTCTATATAGCTAAACCAATGAGTTTGCATAAAAGACTAAACATACACATTTCATTGCAACAGCGAAGCATCCTCGCTACATCTAAAATTGGAAAAAGGCCAGGATATCGCAGTCTATCATGTACTATAAACCTTTCCAGCGGCAGTCTCGAACGAAGCGACTTACAGCGGGCGTCCCTGGTTTTGAGAGGGTACGTCAGTGTTGCCCGACTGCACTGAGCTGTGGGTTTTGTAGTCAGCGGGCTGTGGCAGCCTGCGTAGGCGCACTTCCGGACGCTGGTGGAGGCTACATTGCTGCGTTCTATTTTTTATTTCGTGTTCTATGGCGAATAGAATTGCTCTGGGTTTTTAAAAATGCATTGAACTATTTTTTGGCAACAAAAACGAAGAAATGAAAGCTGTTTTGGTGAGTCCGTGCGCGACAGAACAAATGCAACTGGAAAATTTGTTTCCTTTTATGGTGATTTTTTTTACGGCACGTACACTCAGCTGTGTCATTTTACAAAGGTCTTAGCCGTCGAAAATATTTGACCACACAGGATATGCGAACTGCATGGATATTCCCCGCCCACAACATGAAATTCGAGGAGTACTATCATTCGAACAACATATAGCTATATTGTACGTACCCCACGGTGCCGCGATATCCGAGCAGGACTTGAGAAAGGTCTCGAATAACACAGCACGTCCAATATACAGTGCCGACGATCGCCGACAGTCACTTCACGACAATCGGACGGAATCCGGTGTGTTTGGGGAACATCTAGAAGAGAGCTGCCTTTTCGAACAGCTTCAAAGCAAACGAACGAACGTGTCTATTTCGTCGCCACAACCCGGACCCGACCCTATCAGCTATTTTTCGCGAAGACCCGGAACATAGCCGGCAAGGCTTTTTGGAGATTACCTCAACATAAATAATCCTCCAAGAACGTCGAACTGCCTGCGTCGCGGGCTGCTTGACGTTCGCTTTCTTCGTTCGTTTCCTGCGAAGGCCGAGCGGGCTACGAGCCCTGGTATTCCCTGGTTCTCACAGTGGAAGATAACGCACAAAGGGCAAGCATCCTAAACAGGCAAATAAAGTAAAAACTTCGAAGAAAAGCCGGCGAACTCCGAATGCAAAATGCAGGTGGGGAGTCACGCTGACCGGGTTTCCACAGCTCAGGCGGGCACCAGAAATTTCTGGCTGATAGGCATCGCTCGATTCGCAAAATGGCGGCGGCCAGAGCGGTCTCGCTCTGGAGGAGCGCCTTCCCCCGAGCACGCCGGTGTGCTGCGGCGAAGCGAGACACGCAAAATCGCGATGCCTACCCTGAGACTTAAAAACACAGAAAGAATAAGCACAAAGAGGATAAGAATCGGTCCTCTGGAGCAGTGCACCAGTGTGCGGTGAGCACTCAACGAGACTAACCCTCCAGCAAAATAGACGACGAGCGTGAGAATTATTGCGAAACTTCCGAGTTTTGTTTGTCTTCCATACGAAATTCGATCGAATTGTACCTTATTTGAGACGATAATCAAAAGTTCTGAAAACTCGCATAAGCACGTCATAACGGTCCGGCCGGGCAGCGAGGCCCGAGCTATCTTATCTTCGGTATTACTCGAGTTAAGTTTTGGCGCGACGTTGGCGCAAATTTCTCAGATTTTGGTAAAATGTAACAGGATATAGCGGGATAAGCACTTTGGAGAAGCAATCATATCACTGCGTTATACGTTAAAAATTACTAAAAATTAAACAATAAAATAAAAAAATGGGAAAGAAATTATTTTTCAAGAACGAAGTGCAAGCCACGGAGGACCGTCCTGGATTTCAGAAAATATACTAATTAGATAACTTATTCATTCATATTTACTAATAAAACATTAATTGGAGAAAAGAGAACTATTTCATTTCCAATTGGAAACTTTATGGCAATCATGAAAACTAGAGCCACTAAATAAGCTGCGCTTAGAGTATCGGCACTCCGTTCCCCTACATTGTTGTGGGCGCCGCCATTTTGGCTCTTATGCAGAGCAGACGGAACTGCCCATCGTCATGATTCGAAAGTGCGACTTCCTCAGCATTAGATTCGGTGTTAGGAAGGTCATGTAATATTGCTTTGCTCTGCCGCGAACTGTCTAAACAATTGTGGAGGACAGAAAAGCGTTTCCTGTGATTTCAGATAATGCTTCAGATAACTGGCAACCATGATTTTAAGACACAATATGGCCAAGTGTCGTTACTCTGAAGCGTAGCTTATTTAGTGGCACTAATGAAAACCGCTGAAGCAGTCTATTGGAGACAGATTTGGGTGGCGCGCTTCGCACTTCTGGATGGCGAAACTTGGACGCGGCCGCGCGTGTCGAAGGCGTGGGTGGCCCGCGCCGGCCCTCGGAGGTCGAGGCGTTGACAGAACAGGGCAAGAGCCAATCACTGCTGCCGTCTTCGGCGTGATCAGCTCTCGAGAAATACCGTCTGGGCTGAACGTCGTGATCGGCATCCCAGCGCAGGCGTGGGTGCAGTTGAGACTGCGACGTCACAGCCTTCTCGAGGGAAGTGGAATAGACGACTCGCGCTTCTCAGAGGACACGGTAACCTGGCCGAACCACATTCTAAGTACCATTTCAAGGTAATAGGAAGAACTCGGCCACCCGCGATTCGAAAGGAAATCGGTTGACGAGGTCCGCGGGTAGATGCGGAAACTTGTTCGCGCCCATCGTGAAGCAAAGGGGAGGGCGGAGCACAGCTGCCACGAACGTGCGATCGCCGAGCTGTTTCTCATCATCTCGGAATTCGAAGGGACCTCGTCAAAGTTCTACCCAGTGCAGCGGAACGTGCTCATTTGAGGAGCCCACTGGAGTCGATGAAATCA